TTGATCCTTATTTTTTTTCTGTTAATAAATCCATTCTTGTTTATTCTTTCTAACATTTCCACAGTTAATTTCACTAGTAATCTTTCCAAAATTTATATGCAAAACTTATACTATTCACTACCATGCCATGTTTTCTTCATTCAAAATATTTAAAACTTTTACTTCATGACCCTGTCCCTTCTATTCATCTTTCTTTCTTTATTTCCTCCCTTTTCTCCTGCCATTCTTCAGACATACATCCTCTTCTTAAACCTCCTCCGTTTTTACTAGCTTTCGTCTCAATGCTTCATCTTCTGTGGCTCATATTTTATTTTTTTTAACTATTTTTGCTGGCTTCTATCTCCCTGTTGACTTAAATTATTAATAACACATAGTTTATTTAATTTCTTTCAACTGCTATTCAGGAGCACAATGCTTCCTATACTGTTGAGGTATATGTGTGAATGAATGAGTGCATATGAGTATACATCTGTGTGCATCTATCTGTGTGGTGTATGTGAAACAATGGAGTGGACCACAAATTCTATACTCTGGCCAAACCACCTGCATGCATAACACCCCTGCATCCATCCACAGTTAGCAACCCTTATGCCAAAAGGAAGCCTAATATTGTCATTTGGACTATTTACATTAGTTTGTCAAAACCAGCCAGTTTAGTTTCTACTGTGAAGTCGTTTACACTAGTTAATGTAAAGCAACTACCTTTCCATGGTGGTGGATGTTAGCACAGCTGCTGTTAAATCCGACTTTTGCTAAGGAGCCAGAAATAATCCAGGCTGACATCACTTTAACTGCCATGCCTTCATGCTATGGAATTCTGGGAATTATAGTCTTGTGAGGCATTTAGCCTTCACTGTCAGAGAGCTCTATTGCTACAACAAGCCACATTTCCCAGAATTCCATAGCACTGAGCCGCATCGGTTAAGGTGGTGTCAACATGGATTGTTTCTGCAGTGCAGATGCAGCAAGACCACTACAGGCCAGGAGCAGCAGTAGTTGACAGGGTGGTAGTGGTAAACACTGGCAGAGGATTTCTCAGAGACAAGGGTAGTGTCATTTAACTAATTCATGTTGGTACTGCACAGGAGTTTGTGTGTCCTTTCATGTGTCCTTGTGTGTGTGTCCTTTCACGTTACCTATTGACTTATGGCAACCCCATGAATTTCATAGGGTTTTCTTTGGCAAGGAATACTCAGAGGTGCTATTGCCAGTTTCTTCCTCTGAAATATAGACTGCAACACCATCCGTTTACTAACCCAGGGTGACCGGGCTTAGCTGCAAGATCAGATGTGCGCAACACACACAATGAGAACATAGACTATGAAAACACCAAATAATTAAACGGAGGCTGTTGTACGTTGAACGTTGACATGAGGTGGCATGGCTCCTTGGAAAACATGATAACGCTTGGTAAAGATGAAGGCAATATGAAAAGAGGAACGCTGCATTACAGTCAAGAAAACCACAGGCATGAATTTAAATAACAAAGATATAATGTATATATTATAATACAGTAATGAATACAGTAACTGTATGCAGTGACAATACAGTAATACTGTAACTATAATAGTGAACCCAGCTTAATAATTTAAATAACAAATACATACTGTGTATATTGTAATAACTGTACATAATTTTAATATATTGAAATATATATTGTAATAATGTATACAGTAACTGTATACAGTTATAATACAGTAATATTGTAACAGTAATAATGAACCCAGTCTAATAATTTAAATAAGAAATATATACTGTATATATATACTGTATAAGAATAAGAAATATATACTGTATAAGAGGTGTTCCATTCAAAGGAAGAAGAGGGAGAGGAAGAGAAAGAGAAGAAAAAGCAGCTCCTATGGAAATGTGAAAATGCTGCCATATATTATCTCCTTTTTCCTTTCTTTCTTTCTTTTTTACCTCTTCTTCCCCC